CCGTGCAGCTGCTGCTGAATCTGCTGCTGCTGCTGCTGGATTTGCTGCTGAAGCTGCTGCGGGGGCTGCACAGGGGGGGTGGATGGCCAACCCCGCCCGCCCCCTCGCGCGTTTCGCGGGGGTTTCGCCGCGTTCGCCTCGAACGGCGCGCCGCGGTGTTGCAGCTGCCGCATCATCACCTGCAGCCGCTGCTGGAATTGCATGCGGAGCATCGTGTAGCGCTGATCCCGCCGCTGCGCGATGTTCACGATGAGGGGTTTGCCGTTCAGCATGCGGCCGTTCATCTCGCGGAGGGCGGCGTTCGCCTGATCGGGGGTGGCGAAGCTCACGAAGCCGAACCCCCGGCTCACCCCGGTCGAGTCCGTCATCACTCGGCAGCTTTTGATCTCGCCGTACTCCTTAAAAAGCTCGTGGAGGTTGTCGCTGGTGAAGTTGGGGTCGAAGTTGCGGACGTAAAGGTTGTTGCCGAGGGAGTTGAACTGCATGTACTTCTGGCGGAGCGCGATCAGGCGCTCGCTGCGGGGTTGCGCGCGTTGCACGTACAGCTTCTCGCCCGGCGCGGTGATCCCCTCGACGTGGTTGTCGTGCAGCGCCTCGATCGCCTTCACCGCCTCGTCGTGCTTCTCAAAGTTGCAGAAGGCGAAGACGCGGCCGTTCTTATCCTTACACGTCGTCGCCGAGGTGATGCCGCCAAACTTGGAGAAGAAGGATTCAATCAGCTCCTTGTCAACCGTCGGCAACACCTGCTTGATGTAGACGTTCGTGAAGTTCGCCACCAGCGCCGCCAGACGGGCGTTGCGGCGGATAAAGTTCGCCACGTAGAGCGCCCGCTTCTCCGCGTTGGCGTGCTCGGTCGATCCGTTCATCGCCTCAATCGCGGACTTCGCCGCGTTTTCGTCCTTGAAGTGCACAAATCCGTAGCTGCGGCTCTTCCCTTGCTCGTCCTCCATGACCTTGCACGAGAGGATCGCACCGAACTTCTGAAAGATGTCGTTTAGCGCCTTGCTGTCGACGCCCTCGGCGAGGTTCTTCACGAATATGTTGCCGCTCCCGCTGTAGCGAAGCGCGGGATCGCGTTGCTGCCACAT